GTCATTTCGTGAATGTTGTATTACTCATGTTAGCCGCCATGTTAATAAGGTTAGTGATATCTTGGCAAATTTTGCACGCATAGAGGGAAGAACAATGACTTGGCTAGGATCTGGTCCCTCTGTTGCGGTAGAACTAGCAGCGGCTGATTGTAATCTTCTTGATGGTTGAGTAATACAAATTTGACTCGCAAAAAAATGGATTTGTCAAGGGGACACCTAATAAAACTTTGGATCACCGGATAGACTCAAGACAGGAAATGCATGCAAACCAAGCTGAAACTGCGGTCAGCCGTGAATTGGTAGAAAAGAGTGGAAAACGTGGAGGTTTAGGGAAAGTAAGCCAGGACCAGTGGCACGGCACAGGAAGCGCATGCGTCAAATGGAGATGGAGGTCGATCGACCTACGCTCCACGTACGTACGTACGTCGGTGGTCCGATTTTCTTGCTGCATGGCGCCTACGTAGCCTGCAGCTACTCAACGTGCCCGCCTGGTTCACTGGATCTGGCCATCTGGGACTGAAAGTGGAGGCTAGCTAGCTCGCGCCTTTAAGGTTGGGTGTGCGAGCGCACAAACAGCAGATGCCAATGGCGTGCCGGACCGGACTATCGGCACGTGGGCAGCCAGCACGGCTGGAGCCTTCGTGGGTGCACGGCCAGATGGTCTGGACTGCCACCGCGGAGTTGCCCTCTCTGGCTAGCCTGGTCTGATCCTCTCGGACTCCCTTCTCTCTAGGCTGGTCCTCTCTGGGAGGGACACTGGGACAGGGGACCAAGAAATGCATGCATGAGCAACTGTGACATTTTTTCGAAATGGAGGTAAAAGATTTTGCCTCATCGATTAAATAAGAGAAGAATAGAGTTACAGAGTATTACAAAAGGTCGAGAGAACGGCATGACAATTACTCGCATAATACAATTTTCTCTAATTTCATCGTCCCTGCAGTAACCCAAAGGTTGGCCTCGTCCACAATAAGCTTTAGGAGGATCGGTGGCGGTGCATTCTTGTGACGGAACACCCTACACTAGTAGAATAATGGCCTTTAGTCCCGGTTCATATGGGTCTTTAGTCCCGGTTCCTGAACCGGGACTAAAGGGTCGTTACTAAAGCCTCCCCCTTTAGTCCCGATTCTTACACCAACCGGGACTAAAGGCCCTCCACGTGGCTGATGCCTGGAGGTCCATCTTTATTCCCGGTTGGTAACACCTATTTTCAGTCACTGCTCAATTTAACCTCTAACCTCTAATCACCCCCCATCATTCCAAATCATCTAACTTTCCGTACGGTCACCCATCCTCTCACTACTCCAGCCTGAGCACGCTTAACTTCCGGGTTTTATTTCCCCTCGTTTCCAAGTCTGCACTTCTTGTTTTCCTGACAATAGTAAGATGTCAATCGTATTAACCCTCAGGAGTTTAGCTTGAGCATGAAGTCACACGTTTCACTGTTTGAGTTTGAAACTATTATTCTAAAAAACAACAATTATTTAGTAACACTAATATTTCTTGAATAAGTAGTTTGACCATAGTTTGACCACAGTTTGACCATAGTTTGACCAGATTTGACCAAAATTCAAAAAAATTGAAATACTTATTTACTAACACTAATATTCTTGAATAATTATTTAGTAACACTAATATTTATTGAATAAGTAGTTTGACCATAGTTTGACCCCTGTTTGACCACAGTTTGACTAGATTTGACCAAAATTCAAAAAAATTGAAATAATTATTTAGTAACACTAATATTCTTGAATAATTATTTAGTAACACTAATACTTTTTGAATAAGTAGTTTGACCATAGTTTGACCAGATTTAACCAAAATTCAAAAAAAAAACTGAAATTTGAGCATATCTTTTTTTTCCTTTTGGAATTTGAGGATTCTAAAAATTTGCAAACAGGCTGTAGGCAGTCAAAATAAGATGCGGATTTTCGTTCTGAACATTTTGATATATTATACGTTTTTTTCCGGCATCGTATGCAAAAGTTACAGCCGTTTTACATTTTCCCTACACTTTTTGCAGAACATGTCCAAATTTATGTTTTTAAATTTTCCTAACTAGTAGATGTAGTAACATAACTACATCTCGAAGGATTTTATTTTCGAAGTTTTTATCATTTTCTTTTGGTTTTTACAAAACTGAAAAGGCGATCCAGGGGGGTGTGGTGGTAGAGTTTGAAAATGGGACCTTTAGTAACGGTTTGAGACACGAACCGGTACCAAAGGGCATTGCACCCTTTAGTACCAGTTCATGTTCCAAACCGGGACTAAAGGTCTAATCTTTAGTCCCGGTTTGAGATATGAACCGGGACTAAAAGGCATCACACCCTTTAGTCCCGGTTCGTGTCTACCGGGACTAAAGGGCTCATTTGAACCGGGACTAATGCCTTTACCGCACAAACCGGGACCAATGCTCACATTAGTCCCGGTTCGTGAATGAACCGGGACTAATGGGCTTATCTGGTCCGAACGAAAGCCCTGTTTTCTACTAGTGCTAGTGTTCCTCTCATTCCATATTGTCCACGACACAAGTATGGTAAGAGAGGCCATGGCACGTCGATCCGGGTTGCTCAAATTGGTTCGCCTATCCCACCACTCCAAAAGGGATCCCGCAAGGTGCCAGTCATTAGTGTCCATGTGTACAAGGCCATATTTATAAATGATCAAACGCCAAAGCCTAGTAGTGAAGCGGCACCTAATGAAGAGATGGATGCCCGTCTACTGTTCTCGCTTGCAGAGGGGGAAAAGGCCACAGTTAGGCCAACCACGCCGCTCAAGCCGGTCGGCGGTCCAAATCCGATCTTGCAAGGCCAGCCAAGCAAAGAATTTGACTTTCGGGGGTGCCCACACCTTCCACACCATGAAGTTCATGGGGGATAGAGTCAAACCAAGGAACTGCGCCTTGTACGCGGTTGACGCCGAGTATAAACCATCTATAGAGTGTTTCCATATAATGTCGTCCTCGGAGTGATCGTCGAGCTGGAAATCATGAATTAATGAGCATCCAGAGGGTAAATAATTCGCGGATGTGGTGGCCGGTGATGACGGTGTCTAGTCTGATCTTGAGCATCCAGGCATTCCCCTTGAGAGCTTCCCGCACCTTCCAGTTCTTCCTCCTCGAGGCCTAAAAAATGAGTGGTGCAATTTCCTTGGGCTTGCGACCAAGCAACCAAGGCGAAACCCAAAAAGGCATTTTGGCTCCATTGCCCATGATGATAGTAGTGGAGGCATAGAAGAAATCATGGTCCTCCGTGGTCCAAGGGTTACCCAGACCTACCCACAGTTCGCTCGGCTCTTTCTATTCAAGCCAAAGCCATCTCAGCCTCAAGGCACGAGCAAATATATCGGTATTGAGGACACCCAGGCCTCCATAGCTTGTAGGTCGGCATACTATGTCCCAGTTGACTTTGCATTTTGCACCGGTAGTTTTGTTCAAGCCAGACCATAAAAAAGTCCGCTCGATCTTGTTGAGATTGTTGGGGGAGCCCTGTGGGACAATGAGTGGTGTAATGGAGTACACATCCTAGGAGGTGATGACCGAACGAACAAGGGCCTTGCGCCCAATGGTGGTGATGTTTTTCCCATCCCAGATGACCAATTTCCCGGCCGCCTTGTCCTCTAGGTATTGGAAGTCAACTTTCCTCAGCTGGCACACTGAGAGCGGAAGACCCAAATATTTGATTGGGAAGGACGCCCTTGATGCCGAAATACTATGGAGGATGTGCATTAAATCGAGGTTGGCGCATCGGATGGGCACCACAGAGCTTTTATGGAAGTTGGTGCGGAGGCTTGTCACATCACCAAATCCCTTTAAGATAACAGATAAGTTGTCGATGTCTCTCTTGATCGGCGCCACAAAAACCGCTACATCATCGACGTAGAGGGAGGTTCGCACCATGGCACATCGCCCTCGGATCTTATGAAGGATGCCCTTGTGCGTCGCAAGGTCGAGGATCTTGTGCAGAGGGTCATTGGGTCAATTGCAAGGACAAACAACATCGGCAAAATAGAGTCTCCTTGGCGAAACCCACGCCCATGCCTGATAGGGGAACCAGGTAGGCCGTTGAGGAGGAAACGCGAGGTTGAAGAGGAGAGTAGTGCAGCAATCCAATTCCGGAATTTATCCGGAAACCCCATGCGTTGCAAAAGGTCCAAAACATATTCCCATCTGACGGAGTCGACTGCCTTTTTAATGTCGAGCTTGAACAAGAGGGCCGGAGTCTTGCACTTGTGTAGCCGGCGACTAAAGTTGCGAACATACATGAAATTATCATGAATGTTCCTTTTCTTTATGAATGCACTCTGCGCGTTTGAGACCAGGGTGTTCATGTGTGGTGCGAGACGTAGGGATAAGATCTTCGCAATGATTTTGGCAACGGCGTGAATGAGACTGATGGGCCTATAGTCAGAAAAGCCCTCAGTGCCCTCCTTCTTAGGCGGCAGGACCACATTGGCCGAGTTTAGCCATTGCAAGTTGGCTGTGTGCAGGGAGTCGAAGCACTGGATGACCCTCATGATGTCAAATTTTGTCATGTAAGAAAGATAGTTGAAGAGATTAAGCTGCACTGAACGAGAAATGTTCTTGTATGTGAAAAGATTGATTCACCAGATATTTTGTGAACAAGTCTAACAGAAAACACAAAGTAACCTGTATCATGTGAACTTGTGAAACACAGAGCTGTAGACATCGATCACACTCGACTCGTCTCACTTTCACCGGAAATGATACTACAAACCGCTTTAGTGCACTGCTAGTGCTACGCTACTGCTAGGTCTCACGTGCAAGACACACGACACACGTCCAAGTCAGCACGGGTTCACGGTGCGATGCCGGTGCCATTTCTGCGATTTCCGCCAACTCCAGTGGCCGACTCCGAGCCCCGCCGCTATATATTCTCCACCCCGTCCCGCTCTCCAAATACTCCATCCAATACTCAAGCTGCAGAACAAAGCAAACCCGGATCGTCTTCAGACTTCAGTCCGGTCAGTCAAGCTCAAGCATGTGCAAGGTCATCAACACGGTCCGGTCGCTCGCCTGGCTGCGCCGCATCGTGCGGCGGTGGCGCTCCCGAGCGGCGGCCTCGGTGCGGCCCAACAAGGATGTGCTCGAGCTAGACGCCGCGGTGCCGGCGGGGCACGTGGCGGTGCGCGTGGAGGGCCGCGGCGACGGACAGTCGTCGTCGAGGCGGTTCGTTGTGCCGGTGGCGCAGCTGAGCCACCCGGCGTTCTGGGAGCTGCTCCAGCAGGCGGAGGAGGAGTACGGTTTCCCGTCGGCCTCCGGCCCCCTCGCGCTCCCCTGCGACGAGGACCACCTCCGTGACGTCCTCCGCCGCGTCTCGTCCTCCGAAACCGAGGAGCGCGGCTCCTTCCGCCGCCGCGGTGTCGTGGCGGCGCCGCACGATGACTCGCGGCCGCTGCTGCAGGGGGTGGCCGTGAAGAAGCTCGCCTCGTGATCGATCCTTTTCGAGCAACCCGGAAGGAGCAGGCAGCAGTAGTACAACTACGCGCGCGCCCATGCCGCGGCGCCGTGCCATACCCCATCCATGGCGCGACAGTTACACTGACAAAGTCCCCCGATGCTACTGGATTATCCATCAGTTGAGCTGCCATTTTACAAAATGTACATATTTTCTTCTCCTAGAAATTAATTGGATATATTTCTGTCCTATTTTTTTGCAACCTGTTGCCTGTACCCTGTACCTGCACACAACCAGCTAAAAAAAACACCACAACACGCACGCACGCTCACTCATACGGACACCGTGGCTGAGGAGGAGAGGAAGGGGACGGAGAGGAAAGTAGTTGGTTGTTTTTTTTGTGAAATGAGAAAAGTACTTGGTTTGTTAGGTTTAAGTCGTATACTTGGTACTCTGATATGTTCATAGATAACCTGTTCAAAGGACACGTCTTGTCTTGCCCGAAAGAACTAGTTGTCGGTGGGAGATTTACGCTGCAGTTGTTGCTTCATTGTCATTTTGGTACCCTGATTTGTGTGGCTGAGACATGGAGACGGCACGTGGCTGCGGGTAACCATGACCTTATTCTGCAATGTACGTATCTTTGAAGAGGTGGTGCGTGCTGCAGTCCTTGGCTTGATGGCAGCAGATCATGGAAACAGCGAAGGAGTGACGACTCGTGGTGCATTGTCTCGACACCATCGGGCATGCCCAGATTTACCATTGAAGTACACCTGCGTCGGAGGGTATCGCTGGATTATGAGATTCTGGCAGCACTATCATCCCTCACCCTGCAATCTGCGCCACTTGTGCATCGATGGATGTTCTTGGTTTCATAGGCCACTCTGGGGTGCCCGGCTGCTTGTCTAGTGTGTGCAAGTTTCTCAGTCACGTGGTTGGGTCCACGTTTGAATCGTGTTCACTTGCATCTTCTTCGTTGGATAAATGACTACTCGGCGAGGATAATGTTGCATTTTTCTATTATTTTCTAACATTTTCCTCTGCCTTGGCATAACTTTGCTCTTTGCCGGTGTAAGACTTTGTGTGTGTGCGTCAGCGTTGGATGTGTGCATCCTAATTGTGCAGAGGTCGGATGTGTTCTTTCTGTGTTTTGTATCACTTGATGCTTCATGATGAGTTAATAAAGAACATCCTTATAAATAAATGGGGATGGCATTCTATCATTGAAAGATACTTATAGTTTAGATGGGTTTCTAAATGAGATATGCTCCAAAATGGGTATGACTCACTAGATACCAATGCTTTATCATTTACAATTAATTTGTATATTCATAGATGTTATTCTTTTCAAAGTTGGGGCCTTTGTTAACTTTGTAGGAGAGAGACAATACATCTGTTAAAATTCTCTTAAAATTTTGTCTCTTCATCCACATTTGCGACTTGATTCAAAATTGGCTAAGCTTAATTGACATGAACATTGACTCTTGGGCCAACTTTCACTCTGTTAAGGATTGGTTGTGTTCTGATATTCATCTCTAGAATATCCAGGGGCATGACATATTACGCGTGCTAGTTTGTTTGGCAATATGAACCGAAAATCCACGAGATTCTTTCGAAATAATTTCATCCATGACACCAAACATCGACACAAAGATTTAACTCGAAGACGTGGATGGAGTATCACTAGGGCTAAACACTCGAGCTATGTCATACAACGAGAATGTACCTTTCCGTTTGTTTTCGAGCCTTCGAAGCATCCTTATCACGATAGCAAAATTTCATTTTCAGCAATATTTATTCAAAATAAAAAAATATATTGTATGAACATTCATATAATAGGAATAACATTATCATTTGGCAGAAGGATATGCAGAAGAATCTAATATAGAGTGAACGTAAAATCGCTCATCGCTGTACAATATATATTGGTACAATTAGTTGTTAATGGGAATATAATGTCTAGACGAAAAACATAAATAATGTCTAAATAATTAGACTACAATGAATACTACTGCTCTTCACATTTTTAAGATGTCATTTAATTGTGTATGAGAAATAAGCAATCAAAAACCTCTCGTCCACACAGAACAGACCAAAAGATATGACTTTCTCTAGAAACCATTCTCCATAGTGTCAAGGATGAATCATGTGATGTTGGTACTTTGGGAGAGGTGCTGACAGTGAGGTGTCATTTTTAACTACATCGAATGAGTACATGTTGGTCATAGACAAATGTAACGAATAAAACAATCTTGCATTTATAATTAATGTGTGGTCTCATATGGTGCCTCCAATTAGTAATATGAAATAGTTTTTTATCATGTTTTACAGTTTATTTTTTATGACGAAGGGGAGATATTTAGAAAACTTTTCCACCACTATGTTTTATAATTTTCATAACCTAAAGCATGCATCTAACATGAAAACACCCTTTAACATTACACTTGTAGAAAACATCAATCACGCTCATCATAAATCTTATTAAAATTTATTTTGAAGAGGACTCCATTTTTATTCTTCTTGTGCATTTCATCCAATAAGACCACACCTATTTTATTAGTTTAAGCAATAACTTAATATTAATGATTTTAGTAAATTTTGAAATAACATATTAAAATGAAAAATCAATCTATAATATTGAATTTTGCTAGATTCTATACATTTAGGATTAAGAGTGAGAATTCCATAATTACAATCTTGCAATGTCTAATCTACAATGGTGGAATTCATGGAAAAGGTAAATGAAGAGCATAATACGTACACTAGAGGCCAAAAATTCTCATAAAACTCAATAGGTAGCCCATCATGACGAGGAATTTTGTTATGTTTCATTTGGGAAACACTAGCTTTTATTTATTACACACTAAAAGTACTACGAAGAAAATATCTATCAGCATAATCTAGAGCACATGGCATAGGGTAATGTAGAGATATGTTTAAAACTGTATCACCAACACAATAAATAGACCGTTTGGTACAGGCGGTTCGCTATCTGCAAAAAAACACAATAAATAGATTATTCCATATCTAATAATATATATTTTTCATTGTATCGGCAGAACATTCTATACAACATTCCATATCCATTCACATGGAATTTTTTGCGAGGAAACTTTCGATCTATTCGTTAGCCATGACACTACAAAGAACACATAAATGACAAAAATTGCATCCATGTCCATAGAGCACCAAGCGATGACTACAAGTACTGAAACGAGCTAAAGGTGCGGCGCTGTCATCGTCCCTCCCTTACCTTAGTCGGGCCAAACTTATTGTAGCAGACAGTCGAAAAGTCGTCATGCTAAGGCCCCAAAGGACCAGCGCATCAAAACATCAACCGTCGCCAGTGAAAAGAAGTATAGATCGAAGGGATCAAACCCGTAGACACACGAATGAAGACGAAGAAATATTGGATCCAAGTAGATTCACTGAAGACTAGCATCGATCGAATCCCACGAGATATGCAGGAGACAAACCTCTACACGCCATCCGACGATGCTAGACGCATCACTGAATGGCGACTAGGCCGGGATAACCTTATTCCATCTTCAGGGAGCCACCACTGCCTCAACTTCCTAAGCAGGATGCAAACCCTAAACAAATTCACAAAAACACCTAAAAGCGAAGCCAGATCCCTCCCGCCGGCAAGGGCCAGTCCACCGCGTCTCCATGACCCAGGGCCACTTGAGACGATGCAGACCTGCCGGAGGCACTGGGACCCTAAACTTTTCTTTTTTTCTTCAGAAGGAGGTGGCTGCTGCGTTGCACACCTTGGATTTTTGTGCCATCAAAATGGATTTGTCAAGGGACACACCTAAAAGCTTGGATCATCGGATAGACTCAAAACAGGAATTGCAAACCAAGCTGAAACTATGCTCAGTCGTGAAGTGGCAACAAAGAGTGAAAAACGTGGGGATTTTGTATAACTACACAAAAGAATTGTCTTTTCTCTGTTTGGGTGGCCAGGTGCACACCAAATCTCCACTCGTGTCAACCCCCTCGCCAGTGCATGCTACCGGCATGACACATATTAGGGTTTTCTTTATCCTTTCTTGGTTTATATATATATGGTTGCCAAAAGTCTGTTCCATTAATGAAACTAAAAAACATAACTAAATATTAAATAAACCCTAGATCTAACTAGGGTGTCCTCCGAAGCACGCGGTGGCGCTGGAGCCTAGTGCTCATCCTCGTCGCCGACGAGGTCGATGTAGGTTGGAGGCGACCATGGCGATACTGGTGGCGATGGAGGCGGCGGCCCTACTGTTAGTGTGCGCGATGGCGTAGATGGCGTCTCTTTGCGTCTCATGTTGTGGCTCCTACTGGCGCTCCTCCTCCGGCTCTAGCGTCGACAAGAATGTGGAAGTCCACGTGCACGTCTGCCCCACTAGTCCATGAAGTGGACACATCTCCGGCTCTGGTGTAGGAGTGGGCGCGATGGCCTCCATCATTGATGCCTGAGCGCCTAGGGCAGGTCAGGCCAAAGCGCCAGCTCGACCAGCTCCGAGGCCTCATTGGCCTGCTTGAGCACATCCTCGTCCTCCTTCACCACGGGACCCCTCAACTGCTCAAGTGCTGGAGCACACACGCACGGCGGCACTAGAGCAAAGCATGTTGAGATGGAGGCCGCGTAGGAGAACGAAGGATGAATAGGATCGTTGGGGTGGGATGGTGGGCGTCACTAGCCACCCGCTGACGCATCGATGCCCTGCCATGACTGCGTTGGAGGCCACCAGCTAACGTGTTATGCCTTGCCCTCGCTTTTAGGCGGATGCTCGCCACACCTCCTACGTCGAGGCCACCGCCCCTAGCATAGTCTTTGAGGAGTTTGTCGCAGGACGATCGTTGGCACTGGAGAGGGAGCGCACCATCTAGGCCAACTTAGAGGTGGCACACGAGGCAACACATGCGATGGGCGTGGAGAGGATACCACCGTCTTTGGACCAGCCTCCTCTGGCCAAGCTGCCCCTGACCTCAACATCGGCGTCTGGCCTGTATGGGATGAAGGCGCTCTCGGCCAATTCCACGCTGAAAGG